TCTAGAGGAGATGGACAAATTCCTACAACTCTACAATCACCCAAAGCTAGATAAAGAAGAAATAGAACACCTAAACAGACCAATTACAAGCAGCGAAATTGAAATGGTAATTAAAAACCTCCCCAAAAACAAAAGCCCAGGACCTGATGGATTTACAAATGAATTCTACCAAACATTCAGAGACGAATTAGTGCCTATCCTTCACAAACTCTTCCAAAAAATTGAGAAGGAAGGGACAATACCAAACACGTTCTATGAAGCCAATATTACACTAATACCAAAACCGAATAAGGACAACACAAAAAAGGAAAACTATAGGCCAATCTCCCTAATGAACACTGATGCAAAAATCCTCAATAAAATTTTAGCTATCAGAATCCAACAATGTATCCATAAGATAATTCACCACGACCAAGTTGGATTCATTCCAGGGGCACAAGGATGGTTTAACATCCGAAAATCAATCAACGTTATCCAACACATCAACAAAAAGAAATATAAAAACCATATGATAATATCAATAGATGCTGAGAAAGCTTTCGACAAAGTGCAACACCCATTCATGATAAAAGCCCTTGAAATTCTTGGGATACAAGGAACATACCTCAACATCATAAAGGCCATCTATGACAAGCCAACAGCCAGTATCATTCTCAATGGTGAAAAGCTGAAAGCAATTCCATTAAGATCTGGAACAAGACAAGGATGTCCACTCTCACCACTGCTTTTCAATATAATACTGGAAGTCCTAGCCAGAGCAATAAGACAAGAGAAAGACATCCAAGGAATCCAAATAGGAAAAGAAGAAGTCAAACTATCACTATTTGCAGATGATATGATAATATACATAGAGAACCCCAAAATCTCCACAGAAAAACTAATTCAACTCATCAATCAATTCAGTAAAGTGGCAGGATACAAAATCAACACGCAAAAGTCAGTAGCCTTCCTATACACAAACAATAAATCTGAAGAAGAAGAAATCAAAAAAACCACCCCTTTTATTATCGAAACAAAAAAAATCAAATATTTGGGAATAAATCTAACAAAAGAGGTAAAGGACCTATACAAAGAAAACTATAAAACACTGTTAAAAGAAATAGAAGAAGACACAAAGAAATGGAAAGACATCCCCTGCTCATGGATTGGAAGAATAAACATTATTAAAATGGCCATCCTACCAAAAGCAATATACAGATTCAATGCTATTCCAATCAAAATCTCAATGGCATTCTTCAAAGAAATAGAACAATTATTGATGAAATTCATATGGAATCACCAAAAACCCCGAATAGCCAAAGCTCTACTGAAAAAAAAAGAAGGAAATGGAGGCATCACACTCCCAGACTTCAAACTCTACTACAAAGCCATAATCATCAAAACTGCATGGTATTGGAACAAGAACAGACATACAGACCAATGGAATCGAATAGAAAATCCAGAAATAAACCCACAGATTTATGGTCAACTAATCTTTGACAAAGGAGCAAAGACTATGCATTGGAGCAAAGAAAGTTTGTTCAATAAATGGTGCTGGGAAAACTGGGTCGCTACATGCAAAAGAATGAAGCTTGACCACTACCTCACACCATACACAAAAATCAACTCAAAATGGATTAAAGAACTAGACATAAGACCTGAAACCATAAAATACATAGAAGGAAATATAGGCGAAACACTACGGGATTTGCACATCAAAGACATCTTTACAGACACATCACCCAAAGCAGTGATAGTGAAGAGAAAGATAAACAGCTGGGACTACATCAAATTAAAGAGCTTCTGCACAGCAAAAGAGACAATAACAAAAACAAAGAGAAACCCCACCAACTGGGAGAACATTTTTGCACCCAACACTAATGATAAAGGACTGATCACAAAAATCTGCAAAGAGCTGATGAGACTCAGCAACAACAAAGAAAATAATCCAGTCAAAAAATGGGCAGAAGAGCTAAAAAGAAACTTCTCTGAAGAGGAAATGCAAATGGCCAACAGACATATGAAAAAATGTTCAACATCACTTGCAATCAGGGAAATGCAAATCAAAACTACCATGAGATACCATCTCACACCAGTGAGAATGGCACATATTAAAAAAACTAGCAACAACAAATGTTGGCGAGGATGTGGAGAAAAAGGAACTCTTGTGCACTGTTGGTGGGAGTGCAAACTGGTCCAACCACTATGGAGAGCTGTGTGGAGATTTCTGGACCTACTAAACATAGAGCTTCCATATGATCCAGCAATTCCACTCCTAGGTATTTACCCAAAGGACACAGAAACATCAATTCCAAAGAGCACCTGCACTCCTATGTTTATAGCAGCACTGTTTACAATAGCTAAGCTTTGGAAACAACCCAAATGCCCAAAAATAGATGACTGGATCAAGAAGATGTGGTACATATATACCATGGAATATTACTCAGCATTCAAAAAAGATAAACACATGCAATTTGCAGCAACATGGATGGCACTGGAAGGGATCATGCTCAGCGAAATAAGCCAAAAAGAAAAAGATAAATACCGGATGGTCTCACTCATAGCAGGAATCTAGAAAACTTAAATAAGGGACCAGGAAAATGAATATAAGAAAGTGAAAATCAAAATCAACAAAAAACTATGAACCAGAGACACTTTTTGGGGGGTGGGGGGCGGGAGGGGAAGGATTGGGGTCAGAATGGGGCGTTTGCAATTGTATGGGGGAATATAAAAATAAAATTTAATATTTAAAAAAAAAAAAAATACTTAATCCACTAATATTTAATGATAATACATTATCTGTCTAATTCTGCACTAAGGGAAAACCACATCTAAATATCTTTATTACCTACTGAGTTTTGAGTCAGTGTCAAACTAGTTTAAATAACTGGCAAAACGCTTCAGATTTTAGTGTATTTAAATGTGTTCTCTGTTATATGGACCATACATGAAGAATGATTCTGGGAAGCCCAGGACATTTCCATATTAAGCAACAGACAACATCTACATTGCCTTTATCCTTTATTTATTTATTTATTTATTTATTTATCTATCTATGTATTTATTTATTTATTAAGGCTTATTTTATTTATGCATACAAAAGCTAGGGTGTAAGCTGGGCAGGGGAGGGTGGTGAGAGGATTCACCAGAGACAGAGTGGGGAGCAGAACAGGTGAAGTAACTGAAATATACTGATAAGGGGAGCAGTGGGCGAGACAGGAGAGGTCTGCTGTGCCATGTGGGTTAGCTCCCTGACCGGGCATTGAACTCATGCTGCAGTGGCTGCCAATAGCTTGACAGCGCTGAGACTTAACCCCTTGTACCACCAGGGAGGCCCCCATTATCCTTTTGTAATTTGCTGGGGAATAGTTAAGGAAATAATAAATTTAATTCCCTCTATTTACCAAAGATACATGTTTTTTTATATGGAGACATTTCTGCCACTTTCAATCTCTACCCTAAAGAGAAAATTGGACCTATTGACAACAATAATTTATGCTTCATTTTGTTCTAGTAAGTAAGCAAAAATAGTTTTCGTGTTTTGTCTTTAATACATTTGTCATTGGAAGATGAATAACAATGCCATTTAATTGATACTTTGTATTTATATATGTGACAAGCATATTATCTCACCAGATCTCTAAGTGTTTTTTACTAGGCTAGTCACATTTCCACATTTAAGTAATGGATCACAGTTTTTATCTCCAATGTAAATGTTAGATTTGTTATCCTCATATGCAGGAAGCAAAAGTAACTTCTGTTAGGTTGTCAGTTTATGTATATTGTATAGGCTTTGTGTCCTAAAGATGTCAAAGATGACAATTGCATTACTGCAGTGGTATTTCAAATTTAACTCTCAATACTTTGCATCTAATAAAGCACTAATATATTATTATTTCTCTTCCTGGGAGAAAGTAAGTGGGAAGAAAAGTCTGTGAAAGTATGTCTAAAAATTAGCTAGTAATCTCAGTCACCTGATACAGCATTCATGAGGGAGAAAAAAAAACTAATAAACTTGTAAATATTTTGTATTATTTCAATTTTTATATCAGCATCCAATTATATGCTAAGGTCTTTATTGTCATTTATGACTATATAGATATAAATTGGGAGAATAATTGATCAGATTGTTAAAAGCATCTATTTTCAATAAATTCACAGTTCATATATCAGTCACAGTGAAAATAATCTTAATGAGAGATCCTAGTTTCTTTTTTTGGTTCAGGTGAAGGCTTCTGGCGTTTCCACTTCCAACTTACTCAAGGTAGCCATATTAACATTATAGAATAGGATGATACTCCAATAACTGTTAATCTAGTTAAATATTTTTCCTAAGTTCCATCATTGCTAGATGCTTGATACGAATGAAGTTGGTTAGGAGATGGTTCCTGCTCGTAGAGAACTTGGTTATATTGATGAGAGCAAACAAATGACAGCTCATATGGTGCAATCACATGATAAATGGAAGCACCTTCATTGAAAAGCTGGGCCAGTTGGGAGGGTTGAACTTAAGGAATGAAGGTAGGTCTCTGAGAAAATTACAAAATAACCTGCATATTGAAAGACTAGCAGGGATGACCTGCAAAGAGGAAGGATAACTAAAGGCATATTGTAGCGGAGAAAACCACCTAGGTAAAGGCATGGAGGAAAGGGAATTGACTTCTTTAGGGAACTGCAAGTAGTTCCGTGTTGCAAAGAACGGAGTCTGGGATTCTTATAGGGGTTAGGAAAGATAAGGAGAGTTGCTGAAGAGAGCAGCAGGGGCTGTATCATGACAAGCTTGTTGTGATCCCTGTGATAGGTCTGGAAACAATTGTGGCCATGGAAACAATTTAAGCATGGAGGTTTGACTTCATGTTAATTTGACTTGTTGGTTGCTGCTAAGAATGGATCAGAAGGGAGCTAAAGTAAATGTTAACGTAGTAAATTGTAATTTTTGTTATAATTTGTAGTAAATTCAGACAAGAATAATACAAGAAAAGTAAAGTATTTCTTACTGGAATGTAGAAAGGAAACTCTTCTTCCTTTAATAGCACGTATACTGCAATTGAAACAAATCAAAGAAGATTAGCATGGCTCATGCATAAGGATAACATGCAGATTTGTGAAGCCCTCCATATGTTTTTTTAACAAAGTGAAGTTATTCATGCTAATTAAACTTATCATGGTAATCAGTTCACTTTTTATATATAAATTAATGATGTCTACCTTAAACTAATACAACGGTATATGACACCTGTATGACTATACAGGAAAAAAATGAAAAGGATCTCTATTGTTCTAGTCAAATAATATGCAAAATAAAAAGAGAGTATCCAACTTTAGAAACAAAAGCAGAATCAAAGTCCAAGGATGGTGACAGAACAGAAAGGTTAATTTAATATCAACCACTCTTGCAAGATAATATCTAGTGTCTTATAAGATGATAGTATCTATCTGTGACACAGTGCTGATCACAGAACTATAATTTTCTTTAAAAAAAAATCCTTGAAAGGAAAAGAACTGGCCTCAGAATTATTAAAGGTCACAATCAAAGAAGTGCACAGAAACCTAGCATGGTTATTAACAATACCAAGTCATTTTCCATTATAAATATGTGGTAATGGATGTAATCAAGTGCAGGTTGTAATATGACATCAAACCAAGTAACTATAAAAGGTCGTTGACAGTGGTATAATGAGGTATAGATTTGGACAGTGAACTTAATATATATATGTATGATGTCTCTAATTGATGAACACCTGAAACTTACATAATGCTATAACGCAAATTTACTTCAATAAAAAACATAAATATAAAAAGCTTCCTGGAAGGAAAAACTTGGCAGGGAATGGGAACTTGGGTGTAATAAAGAAGTGAGACAAAAGAAGGATCCTTTTTAATTGTTGAGTCTGCATGTTTGGGTGGGTATTTTGTGATCCATATGTAATTTCTTCAGCCTAGTATATTGAGAGCTATTTGGGTAGGTAGAGTTGAAGTAGATACTGCTTAGCTGCTCTTTAGCTTGGATGCTCCCCAGTGAAGAGAAAGGAAGTACAACCTGGAGTCAATCAAGTGAAACTAACTGGGATGGGGTTTCAGGGACAATAAACTTTACTGGTAGTAGCAGAGTTCAGTTCAGACACAAAATTTGGGTTATTCATTGACAGTCAAATAGAGGACATCCAGACAGATAGTTAGGGTAGAGGTCAGAAGAATAGTCTTGTTTTACTTAATCTTATTTAACTCTTTTCACTTAAGTACTTGAATAAAGCAAATTTATTATGTTGGATTTATTGTTTTCCTTATGGGAAGGAATAGTATAAATAAAGGAGATAAGATTAAAATCACTAAATTTCTAGCATCTTGAGAGTTACCCCTGAACTCTGTTGAGGCTACCCAAGGAACCTCTAGATCATAACCTTAAAATATTTGGATACGAATTTATTTGTATTGTATAGGTTCTTAGATTATGGCCTTCCAGAGAAAATGTCATTGGCTTTAATTTCTTAGCTTAATGAGACTTTAGATAATTTCAAGTCTCTTAGAAAAAGATAAAGGAGAGATTTTTGAGTGGGCCATTTTATCTTGGTTCTGTGTTTGGAGAATTGGGTACACTTCTCCCAAACATTAATTGTAGTAAGATTGTAGTTGTCTCAGTGAGGTTTACTGTTAACTTCAGTCTCTACTGTCCAGAGAAACTGGTGACATATCATTACTGGTAGCAGCACACTGATTGCATATAAGGGAAGCCAGTATGCTATGCCTCTTTTAGGCAGACCTGCTGTGTCCATACACATATGGACATATGTATTTAGGTGTGGACCTAAATACACACGGATGATGTTATTGACCTGTGTTACTAGAGCTGAAAGAATAGAGAAGGTGAAAAGAATATGATTCATTGGAGCAGATTAATCGTTTTAGAGCTGGCTTTGGAAAATATGGCATGAGTCATGGAAATGATGCACAAATCATTAAGCTTTAAATATTTACTTATTTTTTTTGTCTAAACAGTCCCTATTGACTGAGAAATGCATGTTGTTATTTTTTAAGGGTTTCTTTAGTTTTTCAGGTAAGACCTAGTGCTGTTTCCTTCCATTTCAGAAGATGTTAAAGAAGACACATCAATGTGCTATGTGAATGTGTTCTTTAAAGTTGGTCTGCCAGTTTGTAGCAAACTTGGTGTTCTGCCTGATTAAGATGTTAAAGATCAGCCTTATACAGATATAGCTCTAAGCGGTGTGTTCCTTTCAAGAAACATTAGGTATTATGTTTCATACCCAAAGTGGTCAGAACTGGGGGAAATGTTGACATTAGATAATATTAGAACTGGAAACAAATAAGAATTCTACTAAAGGACTCAGGGAAGCTTCATTTCTGGTAACATTTACCTTTGTATGCTATTTTTAACAAGCAGAAAGAATAGACTCCTTTCCTAAAAGTAAAATAGCCTTAGTTTTCTTCTCCTTGCCGTAAGCAAGTAGTGAAAACATTCATAATAGCATGATTTCAAATGAAATATTCTGTAGTTAAATGGGATATTTCCTTTGAATGATAGAAATGCCATAGTTGAAAATGAGATGGTGGCCCTTGTATTTTTGTTCTGATTTTAAAGAATTGGAAGGAACACATCAGAAATGGGAATTAAGTCTGAATAATCATTTTCCTTGTCTTGTAAATTGGTAGAATCAGAATCTGGAAAGACAGAAATAAAGAGAGAAAGTAAAACAGATTGTCTCTAATTATTTTATGTGTGTGTGTTATAGTTTGTTATAGATTCCCAAACAGAGAAGGTGAGAAAAGATAATCGGAGACTTGAAAAAGAAATCTCTCTCTCTCTCCCTTCCTCCCTCCCTCTCATGCACACACTCACATGCTCACACTCAATGTGATATAATTGGAAAATTGACTTATCAGATGCATCTGAGACTGGGGATTTAACCTTTTTTATGCATTAGTAGAAAGGGTATTTGGTTTGATTCCATTGATCCAGCAATTGCATTTTGCCTCTCTAAAGTATTCTTTGGTATTTAAATTTTCTGTGTAATTTTGCTTAAGATCAAGGAGACTACACATTATAAAACTTACATTTGTTTAAGGCTTATGTGGATTTATAAGTCAAAGCAGAATACACTCTCAGAACAGTAACTGACACAGACGCCTTACATACTAAGAATACACTGAGTACACATCATAGAATAAGAACATTCAGTTGGAAGTTAGGCTTCTAAAAATAACTAAGTGCTCAATACTTTCTGCTTTTTACACAGTATTATAGGGTAGAGTATTTCCTATGCCTATCTTATTAAATTGCATAATCAATATGCCAAGTTCTAGTATTACTTGTAATTGAAGGCTTTATTTGCTTGTCTGCAATTTAAGGTCATGCCTTTAGAATTAAGTAGTATATACTATTTCTGATTTGTGTAGTTACTTCACTATAAAAGAGGATGAATATTAAAGTTTTTTTTCTCCCCTAAAGTAAAATTAATCTTTTTTTTCTTCTTGTTGAGGCAGCGTTAGTTATAATACTGTGTAGGTTTCAGATGCACAATTTCTCACCTCAGCATCTATCTATGCCATGCCATGCCATGCCATGCTCACCAAATGTCTAGTCACCATCCACCACCAATCATCTCCCTCTTGCCATTTACCAATTCCTCCCACCCCTCCCTGTAACAACCATTTTGTTATTAAACTCTAAGGGCTTGGGTTTTATTTGTTTCTTTGGTTAATTTTTTTGTCTTTATATTCCACTAATGAGTAAAATCATAAAGTATTTTTCTTTCTCCTTCTGACTTACTTCACTTACCAAATTCACTCAAACTTCATCCATGTTGTTATAAATGACAATATTTCATCTTTTTTATAACCAAGTAGTTTTCCATTATGTATATATACCATACCTTCTTAATCCATTCATCTGATGTCTTTGGACACGAGTTGTTTCCATATCTCGGCTATTGTGAATAATGCTCTAGTGATTATAGGGGCACCTTTTTTTTTTTCAAATTAATGTCTTCATAGTCTTTGGGAAAATATCCAGAACTAGAATTACTGGGTTATATGGCACTTCTATTTTTAATTTTTCAAGAAATCTCCATACTGTTTTCCAAAGTAGCTACACTAATTTACATTCTCACCTACAGTATAAAATAGTTTCTTTTTCTCCACATCCTTCCCAACACTTATTATTTCTAGACTTTTTGATAGTAGCTATTCTGACTGGTATGATGTGAAATTTCATTGAGTAACACAGTAATTTTAATTGGTGTCATTTATCTTTTAAAATTGTGATGGAAATAACTGTAGCACAGAAGGATGGCATTCTGTATAATTAAGCAATGATCTAACAAGAACACATTTTCCTAAAATAGATAACTCCATGGCAATGTTGGGCAATGCAGATCATAGTGGATATACTTATTTTACCCAGATATATTATAATGAAAATTTATACTATCACTTTTAGAAATGAGATGATTTAACTAATTAATAGTTGACTTTTCCTCATAAATACCCATATGTGAGCTGAGTACAGGATGACAATTATTAAGGTTTAGCTTAAAATGTACTGTGTGCACCATCAGCATGTGAGAGAACCAATGGAGAGATAGGGCTTCTTACCATAAGACCATAGGCAAGTTAAAGAAACTGAACTAGTCAGATGTGCCCTTAAGCAAGAAATAGTATTATCTATTACTTTAAGATATCTTCTTCCTTGCATATGAAATTAACATTGTTTAGTACAAGAATATTTATCCATGTATATAATTGTTTATTTACTTCTGTGTTTTAAGCTTGTAATCATGGATTCTGAGGCTCAGTTTGTTCATTAAAAGGATAAACTAAAAATTTTTCCATATCTTGTACAATACCAATTTTCTATAAGTCTATGAATAAATGTCAGACTGTTACAGGGAAGAAAACTGTTTAATAGCTTGACTGTTTTATTATACATCACTATCCCTTCCTGCCTCTGGAAGCACAATAAGAAATCTAAATAGGAAGGAAAAAACATTGAAGTTAGTTTAACATGATATCAAAATTTCCTGAATATATTAAATGTTGAGGGAAAAATATACCCTCATTAAGGCAGCATTTCAAAATCTGCAAATGGTGAGAGAAAGTCTGGCTTTTAT